CAACTTCTTAGCTTGACTCTGTGACTGGAGCATTCCTGTCATTCATATCTCATATTAAAGAGCATCTTAGCAAAAAGATTCCTGGGATCCCACAGTGCTCTGTAGTTATTGTATCTCTTGGTCACAAGCCACATTAGTGGTAATCATTGTTCGATAGTTATCTTAATCATTAATTTATCTTTTTAATCCATATAATCCAATCAGAAGATGGTATCCTTATCTAATTTTTCTCTATTTGGTACAAGTTTCAGGAAATGCTACTCAATAAGTGTTTGTTGAATAAATAAAATTTACCACCTTCAAAAGGATAAATGCTATTTTAATTTTTCTCTTTGTCTTGTGTAGCCTTTTATACTGAAGACTATAACTATTTTTTGATTATTTTTTATTTTTATTATTATTCTTTATTTTTACTTAAAATTTTCCACCTCTTGCCCTCTCCCCATTTCCTTCCCCATCCCCTCATCCCCCTCCCTTTCCCTCTCCAGTCCAAAGAGCAGTCAGGGTTCCCTGCCCTGTGGGAAGTCCAAGGTCCTCCTCCTTCATCCAGGTCTAGGAAGGTGAACATCAAAACAGACTAGGCTCCAACAAAGCCAGTACATGAAGTAGGATCAAAACCCAGTGCCATTGTCCTTGGCTTCTCAGTCAGCCCTCCTTGTCAGCCACAGTCAGAGAGTCCGGTTTGATCACATGCTCCATCAGTCCCAGTCCAGCTGGCTTTGGTGAGCTCCCATTAGATCAGCCCCACTGTCTCAGTGGGTAGGTGCACCCCTCGCAGTCCTGACTTCCTTGCTTGTGTTCTCCCTCCTTCTGCTCCTCATTTGAATTTTGGGAGCAATGTGGGTCTCTGTCTCTAGCTTCATCCATCAGATGAAGTTTCTATGGCTAATTCACTGAAAAGATAGTTATTGGATTATTGTAGGTGAAATATTTGTCAGGACCGCTGGCTCCCCAATAAGTTTACAGAGACTTAATATTAATTATAAACGCTTGGTCAATTAGCTTAGTGTTGTTAGTAGCTAATTCTTATATTTTATTAAAATAACCCATATTTTTAATCTACCCTCTGCCATATGTCAGTACTTCCTTTCAATACATCATTTTTATCTTGCTTCCTATATGTCTTCTCATGACTTTCCAGACTCCATCCTTCTTCTTCCCAGTATCCTCTGTGTCTTGCTGTCCCACCTAAACCTCCTGCCTAGCTACCTGCCAGCTAAATATTTTATTAACCTGATTAGAAGGCACCTTGCCAAATATACACTTATACAGTATATAAAAAGAATATTTCATAACAGGTTATTTCTATATCTGAAGCACCGTTCTATAGGTTCAAGTAATAAGGACACAGTTTAGTAAGAAAACTTGCATTCTACTCCAAAGATTACAAGAATAAAATTCCAATCAATTTGTATTAGGTTGCCCAGTTTTACAGAAACGCACTTTACTTTGATAATATCAAAGAATTCCAGTAACAAATAAACTCTAGCACCCTTGTAAATATCACAAGCAGTTCTCAGGGTAAGTATGAGTAGTGTCTTAAGTCACTGTTCCAATTCTTGCAGCATAATCCATTCTTGAACCTTCCTGCTGTCTTTTTTGTTTGTTTTGCTGTTATTCACTTTGCCTCACAAAAATAATTTACTCCTGTATTCTAACAAATTAACCTTGGTGTAGGTAACTGACATGCAATTGAGAGTTAGGGTTTGGAAGAAATTATACTTCAATACAGAAAATGAGGAAGTACTTTTTTTAAATAATCTGAAATCTCACAGGTTTTTCTCTAGGAAGAAAGGCCCTATTATAGCCATTTCTTTTCATATTTCTCAACCTGACACTCATCTTCCAAACTGGAAAAAATATGTATTATCTTATAGCATAATCTCCCCCATGGAAGTGCACACATATTACTCACAATGGAAACCCAAAAAGATTTTTCTTAAAGGAGGAAAAGTAGCTATTTACTTCCTATACTGGGAAGAAACCTTGTTTGTGCAGAAGACAGCTGTCATGGCCCTTATTTTACAAGATTGATTTCTGTCAACAAAGCACCAAAATGGATTTAGCTATGTGAAACACCCTCCACAGACAACTCATTGAAACCGTTTAGATGGAAAACTTTAAGTCCCTCACAAAAGTTCCAATTCAGCTGTATCCCTGAGTCTGATTTATTTAGTTGGATTTTTGTCCAAAGTACAGAGATTTATCACTGTTAAGTTTCAACTTATTATATTTGGCCCATCATTTCAGCCTGTCAAGATCTTTTAGAATCTTGGTACTGGAATGTAGTCTACTCAGTATCCATGCCAACTTCATGTCAAGTGGATCTTGTTTGAGTATGTTCTCTCTCCTAACATAAGCCACCAAAAATGGCTAACAGACAAGTGCGATTTTTCTACAGAATTCAAAGAACAAAAAGGAAGATGAGATCACCAAGTGAGACCTATAAAGACAAGTATCTTTTGATTCTGAGCAAAGGTCTTCATGTACAAGCATGCATCTCCTCTTGCTCTTGACAGCTCCTACACTACTTATTTTGATATGTGGGTTGATATGGTGAGAGAATAAACACTGAAGTAAGTGGGAAACTTAAAGGTATTTTAATGACTGAAAGCTAGGCTATGGAAAATGAGAAGCTAAAGATGTTAGAAAGGTATACTGAATCTTAGGGTGTCAGAACAGCACAAATGCATTTGCAGGATTTTGGTATAAATAGTGTCACATTTATTTTTTTACTTACCTGGAGCTAGCAAATGTAACCTTACATTGACCTTACAGTTGCTTTCTTTGCTAGGATTTGTTCATTCAATGAGAGAGTAAGCTGTGCTGGTAACAGCCTCCTCAGTGCTCACAGAAACTCCAGTGAATACATCCAGCAAACATAAGCAATGCTTAAATTTAATCTACTTAAATTTAATCTGGTGAATTAGTCACAAAACTATTCTCTCTGAGTTTATATGAGCTTTCCTTGGTTATTTTAGAAGACCTTCTTCTCCTGGTATTCTCCATCCCCTCTGTCTCCCCTACTGCCTCCTCTTCCAAGGGATTCCCTGAGCTGTAATGGGAAGGATTTGAAGGGGACATTTCCTTTAGAGTTGTGTGTTCTAAGGTTTCTCTCTCTGTGTAGGTCTGGCTGTGAGTCTCTGTGTTTGTTCCTATCTGCTGCAGGAGGAAGCCACTTAAATCATGACTGAATAAAACACTAATTTATAGGTATAGAAGAATATCATTAGGATTCATTTTGTTATTACATACCATGGCTCTAGGCCTTTTTTTTACTGCTCCTCGAATGTCCCTCATTTCTGCATGTCTTTACCCTTACTCTTCTCAATTGAATCTATTCTCCCCCTCCTCATCTGATTCTCCTGTTCTTATCCCTTTTACCACTCCTGCTCCATTCCATCTATAAAAATTTATTCTATTTCCTCCTCCCAGGGAGATCCATGTGTCTCTGTAGTCCCATCCTCTATGCTTCTCCTCTCTGGGTCTATGGATTGTAGTTTTTTTTTTTAATTTAAAGGCTAATATCCAGATATAAGTGAATAAATGCAATATTTATCCTTCTGGGTCTGGGTTACCTCACTCAGGATAATTTCTTTTTTTAGTTTCAACATTTTTTTCTGAAAATTCAATGGTATCATTTTTAAAAATGTTTTTATTTGGCTATATTTTTTTCTTTGCTCCTCTCTCTTCCTCTCCCCTCCTGTTCTACCCTCCCATGACCCTCATTTACTCAGGAGATTTTGTGTTTTTCTACTTTCCATGTAGATTAGATCCATTAGAGTTCACTTTGTTGTTTTGGATCTCTGGGATTGCAAATTATAGGCTGGATTTTCTTTGCTTTATGTCTAAAAGCCACTTATGAGTGAGTGCATACTATATTTGACTTTCTGGGACTGGGTTACCTCACTCAATATGATGTTTTCTAAATTTATCCATTTTTCCACAAATTTAAAGATGTCATTTTTTTCTGCTATGTAGTAGTCCATTGTGTAAATTTATCACATTTCCCTTATACATTCTTTGGTTGAGAGACATTTAGGTTGTTTACAGATTCTGGTTTTGACAAATAATGCTGCTAAGAACATAGTTGGGCACATGTCCTTGTGGTATGATTGAGCATCTTTTGGGTATATAGCCAAAATTGGTATGCTGGATATTGAGGTATGTTGTTTCCCAGTTTTCTCAGAAATTTCTATACTGATATCCAAAGGGGCTATAGCATTTTTCCCTTCAACCACACACACACACAGACACACAGACACACACACACACACAAAACTGGTCTTGGAAGACTTTTGATGATAGTTTCTTTTTCCTTATCTGTAATATTTTCTTTTAATTTGCTTATCTGGTCTTGATTTACTTTTGGTAAGTGATATTTATCCAGAAAATTGTCCATTTGCTTTAAGTTTTCCAGTTTTGTGGAATACAGGTTATCCGAATATGATCTGATGATTCTCTGGATTTCTTCCCTGTCTGTTGGTATATCCCCCTTTTTCATTTCTGATTTTGTTAATTTGGATATTCTTTCTCTGCCTTTTGGTTACTTTCGATAAAGGTTTGTCCATTTTGTCGCTTTTTCTCAAAGAACTAAATCTTTTTCCAATTGATTCTTTATATTGTTTTCTTTGTTTCTAGTTTTGTTAATTTCAGCTCGCAATTTGATTTTTCCTGGCATCTAGTCCTCCTGGATGAGTTTTCGTCTTTTTGTTCAAGAGTTTTCAGGTGTTCAGTTAACTCACTAGTGTGGCATTTTTCCAGCTTCTTTATATAGGCATTTAGTACTATAAAATTTCCTCTTAGCACTACTTTCATGTGTTCCATAAATTTGGGCATGTTGTTTGGTAATTTTCATTGAATTTTAACAAGTTAAGAGTTCTTCATTTATTTCTTCTTTGGCCCATTGATGATTCAGGCAAGTATTGCTTAATTTCCATGTGTTTGTGGGCTTTCTAAAATCAATGTTGCTGTTTAATTCTAATTTTTAGCCATGGTGATCTGATACATGGTGTTATTCCATTTTATAAAACTCTTTTGAGGTTTGCTTTGATATCTAGTATGTGGTCAGCTTTTGAGAAGGTTCCATGAGGTGGTGAGAAGACGGTATATTCTTTTATGTTTTGATAAAATGTTCTATAGATGTCTGTTAAGTCCATTTGAGTCGTACCATTTTTTATTTCCCTTACTTCTCTGTTAACTTTCTGTCTGGCAGACCTGTCCATTGTGAGAGTGGAGTGCTGTAGTCTCCATCTATTAGTGTGAGGAGTTTAATATGTAATTAGAGCTTTAGTAGTGTTTCTTTTTACTTATGAGGGCACCCTTGTATTTGGGGCATAGATGTTCAGTATTGAGATATTACCTCTTGTTGGATTTTTCCTGTGACTAATATGAAATGTCCTTCTTTTTCTCTTTTGATTGATTTTAGTTTGAAGTCTATTTTGTTAGATATTAGGATAGCTACACCAGCTTGTTTCTTAGGTATATTTGATTTGTATCCAATCTGTTAACATGTGTCTTTTTATAGGTGAGTTGAGTCTGTTTATATTTAGGGATATTAATAACCAGTGATTGATTGCTAGTTCCTGTTATTTTCATTTTTACTCTTGGTGATGTGATTGTGTGTGTTTTTCCCTTCTTTAGTATTTTTTTTTGTCTGTGTTTTTGTGAATGTAGCTGACTCCCTTGGGTTGGATTTTTCCTTCTAGTACTTTGTGTAGGGCTAGGTTTTTGGCTATGGGTTAAATCTGGTTCTGTCATGGAATATCCTTTTTTGTCCATCTATGTTGATTGAACATTTTTCTGTGTATAATAGTCTAGGCTGCCATCTGTGGTCTCGTAATGTCCATATAATTTTTAACCAGTACCTTCTGGCTTTCATTGCTTCCATTGAAAAGGTTTAATTCTGATAAGGATGCCTTTATATGTTGCTTGGCATTTTACCTTTGCAGCTATTAATATTCTTTCTTTATTCTGTATGTTTACTACTGTTTTTATTTTTTTGTGGCAAGGGGACCTTTTTTTTTTTTGATCCAGTCTATTTGGTGCTCTGTAACTTTCTTGTGTCTTCATATGCATATCTTTCTTTAGTTCAGGAAAGTTTTTTTTTCTATGATTTTGTTGAATATATTTTCTGTGCTTTTGAGTTAAACTTCTCATTCTTCTATCCCTATTATTCTTAGGTTTGGTCTTTTGATATTATCCCAGATTTCCTGGATATTTTGTGTTAGGTTTTTGTTAGAAGTAATGTTTTCTTTGATCAATGGGTCTATTTTCTCTATTGTATCTTCAATGCTTGATATTCTCTCTTCCATCTCTTGTATTCTGCTGTTTATGCTTACATTTATGGTTCCTGATTGTTTTCTCATAATTTCTGTTTCCAATTGTGTTTTCTTTATTGTCTCTGTTTCATTTTACAAGTCACGAATAATTTCTTTTATCTGATTGATTTCTTTTTCTTGGTTTTGTTTTTAAAGGAATTTGTTGATTTCTTCCATTTTTTTTTGTTTGTCATTTTCTCCATTTCTTTGAAGGAATTTTTCATTTCCTCTTTAAAAACCTTAAACATCTCCCCAAATTATTTTTAGGTTGTTTTCTTCTGCTTCATCTATATTACTGTGTTCAAGTCTTAGTGTTGTAGAGTCACTAGTTTTTGTTAGTGTTGTGTTGATTTTTGTGGTGTTAAGTATGTTCTTACCTTTCTACACATCTTTTCCTCTGATTGATGTAGTTGGAGCTATGTCAGTAATGACCAATCTTCCAGATGCCAGTGGATCCAATGCTCACATAGTTGCTCCTCATGATGCAGTCAGGGCCATGGTATTAATCACCCCAGAGGTCATTAACTGCTCTGCAATACCAGAGGTTGTTCAGAGCTATTCCCATGAAAATCATGTGCTCAGGCCTGGCCAGGTCCTGCAGAGCTTTATGACTCAGGCCTGTTCTCTTGGCAGTTACTCTCTTGCATCTGCTCCTTTGGAGGTTGCTGCCTCTGGTTTGCTCTGGTGGATATTGCTAGCTCTGCCTTCTCAGGTGGAGATTGCTAGCTTGGTCATGTTCCCATGAATGTCCCTGGCTCAGGCCTGTTCCTGTTGAAGTCCCTGGCTTGGTACCAGTCCTGCAGAAGTCTCTGGCTTAACCCCAGTCCCACAGAGGTCTCTGACTTGGGCCTGCTCCTTTGGCATTTGCTTACTTGTACCTGTTCCTGCAGAGGTTGCTTGCAAGGGCCTAGTGGGGCAGTTTACTGGCTTGGGCCTGCTCCCCCGGAGGTCTCTGTCTTGGGCCAGGTCCCACAGAGGTCTCTGACTCAGGCTTGCCCCATTGGCAGTTGCTCCCTTATACCTGCTTCTGTTAAGGTTACTGCCTTGTGCCTGCTCCAATGGAGGTCATTGGCTCAGGCCTTCTATGGTGGAGGTCACTGGCATGGAACTGTTTCCACAGATGTCCCTGTCTCTTGCCTGCTTTTGCAAGAGTCTCTGGCTTTGATTTGCTCCCTTGGCAGTTTCTTCCTTGACACTGTCATTTATTTTAACAGTTGAGTGATACTCCATTGTGTAAATGTGCCACATTTTCTTTATCCATTCTCCTGTTGATGGACTTTGAGTTTGTTTTTAGTTTCTCACTATTATGGGTAAAAAAGCAAGCAATTGCCTCTGTAGTAGGATGAAACATCCTTTGGGCATATGCCCAAGAGTGGTCCATCTGGGTCTTGAGGTAGATCAATTCCCAACTTTCTTAGGAACTTCCATATTGATTTTCATAGTGGTTATATAAGTTTTCCCTCCCATCAGCAATGGAGAAAGACTTGAATTGCTCCACTTCCTCACTTCTATGAACTCTCACTTGTATTGTTGCTATTAGCCCTTCTCACAAGTGTAAGATGAAATCTCAAAGTAGTTTTGTTCTGCATTTTCCTGATGGCTAAGGATGTTGAGCATTTCTTTAAGTGTTTCTCAGTCATTAGAGTTTACTCAGTTGAGAATTCTCTGTTTAGATATGTACCACATTTTAAAATTGGATTATTTGTTTTTGATATCAAGATTCTTGAACTCTTTATGCATTTTGGATATTAGCCCTCTATTGGATGTGGAATTGGAAAAAAAAACCTTTTCCCATTTTGTAGGCTGCTACTTTGTTCAAATGATAGTATCATCCCTACAGAAGATTTTTAGTTTCATGAGGTACATTTTATTTATTGTTGATCCTAGTGCCTGTGTTAAGAATGTTCTATTCAAAAAGTCCATTCCTATGCCAATGGCTTCAAGAATATTCTCCACTTCCTCATCTATCATGTTCAGTGTACCTGGTTTTATGTTGAAGATTTTGGCCCAGACTCATCTTGGCTTTAGAATTTCTAAGGTGGTAAGTATAGATCTATTCACATTGTTTTACATGAAGCAATTGGTTGAAGATGCTGTCTTTTTATTCCAATGTATTTCTGGATTCTTTAGGAAAAGTCAGTTGTACACAGATGTGTGGATTTATGTCTGGATCTCTAATTTGATTGATCAGCATGTCTGTTTTTGTGCCAATACCATGCTGCTTTTATTACTATAGCTTTGTAGAGCAACTTGAGATCAGGAATGGTGAGGCCACCCACAGTTCTTCTGTTATTCAAGATTGTTTTATCTGTCCTTAAAAAAAAAAAAAACAAGGACATAGACTATAGTCTTATTTTTGTTCTTCAATGAATCTTGTAGATATTTCTGCCAACCACTAAATTATTCTCTTCACTGTGGTTTCTCTAGTCCCCTGTACATTTCACTAACACAATTATCTCCATGAAAGTCAAGTTCAAGTACAATTCTTCCTTAGTTAAGCGGTTCATTGTTGTCCTGGGGCAGTACTGTGGTGACAGTTACAGTTGACTCCTGATTTAGAGACCTATTCAGTCCTGTCTTTTTATTTTTATTTTAGTTTGGTTTTAAGATTATAGTATAACTATATAATTTCCTGCTTCATTTTCCTCTTCCCAAATTCACTCATAAGCCCATCCTTCTACTCTTTCAATGTCTTGGATCTCTTTCAAATTCATTTCCTGCTCTGTCTGTGTATCTTATTGCTGTGTATGTTTTCAGGGTTGACCATTTGGTACTGGATAAGCAGTTGCTATGTTCTTCCCCCAAGGGGGATTGTTTCTTTTCGAGTGTCTTAATTATGACTTTTTATTCCATCTCTATTTCACAGACAGAGGTCTAAGATCATGTAGCCTGAGGCTATGACACTTCATCCCTTTTCTTTCCTCATGCCACCTTTATTATTCTATCACCGGAGTGTTTGTGAATGTTGTACACTCCTTTATGAAATTATATGTTGTTTTATATATGTGATTTTTATATAGAAGTTTACTTGGGTAATAAGGCCCAAATGCTACATCTTTTTTTGTAAATGCTAATTGTTTTTAGATATTTAATAAACTGAAGTAGAAACTAATGAGAATGAGCAATAGCAACGAGGTATCCAGCATTCCAGAAATCATGGGTTAATTACTTCAACTGCTAATGTATCTGGCCTTATGTAAATACTGGAGGGTCAGGAAGAGGTCAACAGGGAAATCTGGGCAATCCTCAGATAATTCCTTACCAATTTAAAGCATCAATTCATTTATGTATTCTAGTTGGCAAAAATATAAGTAATGAGTTCAAAGCCTGGGAAATAGATAAAATAATACAAATTGTATTTCTTATAAAATGACAATAGCATGCTGCTATTTTTCATGGACAGGTGTGAATATACGAACACTAAATAAAAGCACAGCTTATTCCTCAAACGGCAGTCCTATTGATCATCTTCCGTTACCTCAACATTATCTTTATAATTTGTTAAAAAACAATTAGCTAAGATGGTGTCTCATTTGGCTAAGGTAATTATGTTAGCTTATATAAGGCAGATTATATCTCTATTTAATATTTTGAAGTGTGATCAAAACAGGTTAAAATTTAATGCCTTTTATTTGTATTTTAATATCCTCCTGAGATGTTTCCAGGAGTTCTTATTTCTTCTTCAGTAACTACACCATATTTCAAAAATATACGATAGGTGGAAACAGTCACAATTTATACATTAATGGAGGAAAAAAGCACAAGAAATCGAATTATTTTATACTTAAAGAAATATTTGGTCAATGGTGTATTATAACTCCTCTTTAACCACAAGTTCAGTTTAAATTTTATAAGCTAATTATTAAAAAAATGTGCATAAACAAATGAGAGATTTCAGTAAGCTTGTGAGATGCGTTAAAGTGATAAAGAAGTATTGCTGAAGTATTTTAAAGGAAGTCTTCAGCCTACAATTCACACAAAGTTATATGTCTGAACTCTGCCATGAATCTTAGGAGCAAAAATGCTGTAACCAATTCAGGGCAGTTACACATGGGACTAACAAATGGGAGAAAATAGAATGCCTATATTTGGAAGAGTTGACTGACCCTATGTATGTATATCTTCTTTCCTCCAAGAGAAGTAACTTTGAAAAAAAAAAACAAGCTCTGTTTTTGAGATATGAAGAAATTTCTTCCAGGAGCTTGAAAATTCCCAAAGTACATAAGTTTCTCCAGAACAAGATTCTCAAATGTAGAATACCTTCTCTCTCTCTGCCACTCAGTTACTCAAAGTAAGTTCTTGCTATCAGCATTGTCTACATATAGAGAAATAGATGTCAGCTTCTACAAGATTATGGTAAACATAAACACATTAAAAACTCATAAGATCAAAAATCTCAAAATCAAAAGAAGCTATTGAATATCCAGAACAATTAATAATGCTACATTTTATCTGCATTCCTTAATTGTGAACATTTGGTGCTCTAAATATGTAGAAAAGGGCATAAGACCAGAGAAGGACAATCACAACACATACAAAGGAATATATTAAGTGTGAGAACTTTTCATCCTTGACTTCACAAGGATAGAATTCTTTAGACATTTTTGTCTCAATTTTGTACATGGTTCTCTCTGATTTATTCTACATGGGATTGATATAACAATATCACTTTTACTTCTCTTGGGTTGACTCCACCTCAACATTTCCACCACCACTACCTTTGAACAAGTCTTTCTATAAATCTCCCATGCCTCTCATAGTGACAGAATGATGCTCTAGTGTGTATGTGGCCAACACAAATTAGACTTATTTTTCTTTCTTTTTTTTTTTTTTTTTTGAGGGGAAGGAGGGCCACAAGGAGGGGTGGATCTGGACAAACTAAGAAATGAGTGTGTTGTGAGTATATGATGTAAATGATCTCCCAGGATCCACTCCTCATGTAAGTCCCATGCTATCATTATTCTCATGAGTGCTGTAGTGATCTTCCTTAAATGTAAACTTCCCTTTTCATATATATTTAATGTGTATTGTATTGGTTACTTTTCTGTTGTGCAAAATATCATGATCAAAAGCAACTTACAGAATAAAGAGTTAATTTGGGGTTTTTGTTCCAGAGAGACAAGAATCATGCTTCCATCATGACTGGGAAGCATGACAGCAAGCAGTAGCTATGGTGCCTGGAGCAGAGAGCTGAGAGGAAGCACACATCTTCAACTGCAGTCCAATGACATACTTCCTCCAGCAAAACTGTACCTTCTAGATCTTGTAAAACAGCATCAATTTTAAAGCAAATGTTCAAAAATAGTTGCTCCATAGGAGAACGTTTCTTATTCAAGTCATCCTATCTTATAGCCCTCAGCAATAAATAAATAAATATCATTAAATATAGGGTTTGTGTGCTCCTGTCCTTTCTCCTTTCTTCCAGTGAGAACTCACCATTTTCCCTCTAACTCCTGTATCCTGTTTGTGTTTATGCAATTTCCAATAAATACCAGAACAGACCAGTTTCCAAAGTGTCTCTGGTACCTTCCAATTCCACTTGACTCCTTCTACCCATCTTTCTGAGTCAGATTAATCACTTCAATGAAGGCTTCATACTTTCCCAATGCTCTGACAACATAACAGACACCAGCAAATTAAGGGAGGAGGAGTGTATTTGGGGTTCAGCTTTTCAGGGTATTCTAGTTCATCATGGGGGGAATGGCATAGCATCAGGCAGGAGTGGACCAGCACATGTTTTCAGGATCATAAGGTAGCTGGTCAGACAGCAGTAGTCCACCAGGAAGCACCTTCTACTCAGTTGCCAGAGGCCTTCATAGCTTATATCTTACAACCAGGTACCATGTGCCCAAAATTTCACAAAGTCTGCAAATTACTCTACAGCCTGGGACCAAGTGTTCAAACACAAATCTGGTGCACAGATCAGATATTCAAACCATAATAGTTTCTGCAATCAAATTTATAATTTTGATTATGGCAAGTTTCTTCTGCCACATTTTGACATCTTCATGGATGGACCTACATTTCTCATTCCTGCAAAATAGAACATGCATGTTGATTTACGAAGAAAAGAAATGCTGAGATCTTATCCTAACAATATGAAACAACTTCCTCTTACCTTAGTATTCTACACAATGTTTAGCTGTAGGTAATAATACAGTTAAGAGAATGGATAGATTTTTACTAAAAATGAAGTAAAAGCTTACTCTTGAAATTAGATTCGGATCTATATACAAAATTTAGTTGCTAAAAACTCAAGGCTTCATCATAAGATATTGCAAAAGTTAGCATTCTAATACTAGAAAGTAAAGTGTTAAATTTTATTTAGTCAAATTATTAATTTAAATTATTAATCATTAATAATTATGGGACAACTGATTATTAAAAGTTCAGTGACAATGCTCTAATCCAAGACAAGAATGACTTTTGGTAACATATGACATGTTAAGACTGATTTGAAAGTACACTTGTCCTCAAAATCTAAATTACAGGGTACTTTGTATTAACATGTTCTACATGGAGAACTTTCATGTGGGAGAGAGAAATGAATTTGCTATTGAATCGTCTGACTTTGGCTTCCCTGTGGTTAATTTTCACCTAACAGTATGTGGTAAAATCAAATGCAGTTTTCAGTCATTCTTGGCTGACATGGTTGTTTAAAAGAAGGCTACCCGCTGGATTGGGAATGAAAAAAGTATTGACTGAATGCTGCAAAATCGATCAGACCTTTTAATGTTTTACATCTGTTTATTTTCTACTACATTTCAAATGGGTTGACAGATTTTGATAAAATTTCCTGCACTTCACTTTTAAGCATCAAGATTAAGGGAAGGCCAATTACAGGAGAAAATTTCCAGTATGTAAGGTTTGTCTCCAGGAAACTCTTAATCTTTATATGAGATGAGAACATTTTTTGAGCAAAATTATAAACTAGATCTAATATATATGTTCTCAATGACAGCATATGTTCTTCCTCTGATTTCCTCTTTATATTGTAGCTTTGCCCATGATCAGATCAGGCACATTTTTAGTCAGAACTCGAGGGTCTACCTTGTTCCTGCCTCAAAGGCGTAAGCAACAACTATAAGATAAAGATGCATTCACAGATGGAGGGAGGTCTCCTGCGGAACTGTGAAGAACAAGTCCTTGTTTTTTTTTTTTTTTTTTTTTTTTTTTTTTTTTTTGTGGACCATTGTGTTACATTATTCATGAAACCATGGGAAATAGATTAAACACGCCATTGACTTTTCATCCCAAAGTGAACTAAAAAAAAAATCTACCTACATTGTTAATGTGAAAATTGTAAGAATTCACAATTTGAGAGTAGGACACCTGATACGTATTTATGCTTGATGATGATGATTGGTACTTATTGATGTCACTGGTTCCCAACAGGCAGTGCCTCCCATATCATCCAAATAAAGCAAAAAGGAACCCATATTTCCTTTGAAATGTTTAACATATTTTTAATTATTATTATTAGCAGTAGTAGGAAGAGGAGGAGGAGTAGTGCTCTTGTGAGAACATATCAGAAGAATAAACAGACATGGAGAAAATTTTGGCACCTATACTTCAGACAAGGGAAAATGATCTATTTTTATGCCAATACCTCACTATTTTTATTACTATAACTCTGTAGTATAATTTGATGTCATGGATGGTGATACATTCAGGAATTCTTTTATTGTTCAGGATTGTTTAATCTAACCTGGGTTTTTCACATTTCCATATAGAGTTGAGGACTGTCCTTTTAAGATATGTGAAGTACTGTGCTGGAATTTTCACGAGGAGAGCACTGAATCTGTAGATGGCTTTTGGTAGGGTGGCCATTTTTGCTGTTAATCCTGCTCATCCATGAACATGGGAGATCTTTCCATCTTTCTATGTTGTCTTCAATTTCTTTCTTCCACATCCTAAATTTTTATTATACATGTCTTTCACTTGCTTGGTTAACGCTACCCCCAATTTTGTTTTTAGGCTACTCTGAAGTGGCTTACTTTCCTGATTTCTTTCTCAATCCGTTTATCATTTGTATAAAAGAAGGCTACTGATTTTGGGGTATTAGTTTTGTATCCTGCTACTTTGCTGAAAGTGTTTATTAGCAATAGGAGTTACCTGGTACTAATTTTAAGCTCACTTAAGCATACAATCAGATCATCTGCATATAAAATACTTTGACTTCTTACTTTCATATTTGTAACTCCTTGATCTCCTGCGGTTGTTTTATTGTGCTAGCTGAATTCAAGTACTTTACTGAATAAGTATGTGATAGCAGACAGCATTTTTCTGTACCTGATTTTAGTATAAATGCTTTGATTTTAATTCAACTGCTTTGAGTTTTTTGCTATGTAGGTTGACGCTGGCTGTGGGCTTGCTCTGTTCTGGCTTCATTATATTGAGGTATGCCCATTGTATCCAGTACTTTTATTATGAAGGGGTGTTTGATTTTGTGAAAAGCCTTTTTTTCATTTAATGAGCTGATCATTTGGATTTTGTCTTTCAGTTTATTCATATGGTAGATTATTTTTATCAAACTTGTTTGTTGAACCTTCCCTGCTTCTTGGGAATGAAGGCTACTTGGTCATAATAGATAATCTTTTTTTATGTGTTCTAATATTCAGTTTGTAACCATTTTATTAAGAAGTTTTAGATCTATCTTCATAAGGGAAATTGATCTGCAATTTTCTTTTTTGTTCAGTTTTTAATGTGCTTAAGGATCAGGGTAATTGTGGTCTTATTGAAAGAATTTGTTAATGTTCTTTTTGTTTCTGTTTTGTGGAATAATTACAGTAGTATTATGTAAACTGAGGCTGCACATTATTCTTGGGCACCCAGGTCCAAATAATCACACAGAAATTATATTAATTGCAACACTGTTTGACCAATGTCCAGGTGTATTTCTAGTTAGCTCTTACATCATAAATTAACTTATTTCTATTATTTTATATTTTACCAAGAGGCTTGTAGTTTGTTACCTCTTGCTTTTTGGGCAGCTGCATGGAGTCTGTCTCCTTCAGCAGCTACATGGTGTCTCCTTGACCCCACCTACACTTTCTCTATATCGCTTGCAGCCTGGTTATATTCTGGCTTGCCACAGGCCAAAACAGCTTTATTTATTTGCCAACAAAAGCAATACATATACAGAAGGACACTCTTCATCAGAAATGTCACTCATTCTTCTTTGAAAATCTGGTAGAATTCTGTACAAAAACCATCTTACTCAGGGATGTTTTGGTTTGGAGATTGAGTTACTTCTTCTATTTCACTGGAGATTATTGCTCTATTTAAACTGTGCATTTTGTCTTGATTTAACTTTGGTAAGTGGTATACATTAAGAAAATTATTCATTTCTGTTTGATTTTCCATTTGGATATCCTTGGTGCCTGTTCTTATGCCCCTCTCTTTTGTCTCTAATTTTGTTAATTTGAATTTTCTCCCTCCACATTTTAGTTAATCTGGATAAAGGCTTGCTAATCTTGCTGATTTTCTCAAAGAAGCAACTCTTTTTTCAATGATTGCTTGTATTGTTTGCTTGTTTCTATTTCATTGGTTTTAGCCCTATGTTTGACTATTTCTCACCATCTACTCTTTGGGGGTGTTATTTCTTCTTTTTATCTTAGAGATTTTAAGTGTGTCTTTAAGTTACTAATATGAAATCTCTCCAATTATTTATTGCAGGCACATTGTACTATGAATTTATCTATTAGAATTGCTTTCATTGTGTCACATATGATTTCATTTTCATTTAATTCTAAAAGTTTTTAATTTCTTTCTTCACTCACTTTTCCATTCAGTAGTGAACCATTCAGTTACCATGAGTTTGTAAGCTTTTTGTTGTTTCTGTTGTCGACAGCCAACTTTAACCCACAGGGGGCAGATAGGATGTAGGGTGTTATTTCAATTTTCTTGTATCTGTTGAGACATGCCTTGTGTCTCAACAGTCTTCCTTTCTTACTCCATCTCTTTGTCTCATTGGGTAACACCTGAGGCAGTATCTCTCTGGAAAACAATTTAATACTTTCAAATCAACAACGTCTCCTAGATTCTGTTTTCTGGTCTTCAAATCAAATGTGATATTTTAGAAAATGTAAGGAAATCTAACAACTCAATAGCAAAAAGGGAAAGGAACATCATTCCAAAGGGAAAATAAATCTAAACAGATATTTCCTAAAAGAAGACATAAAAATGATGATCAAGTGCCTTAAAAATGTTCAATGTCAAGGAAATATAAGCCAAAATCGCAATGAAATATCACCACCTAACATTAAGAGTGATTATTATAAAAAAAATTAAACACAGAAACAATTGGTGAAGAAGTGTAAAAAGGGGAACATTTGTACACGGTGGGTTGAAA